ACACACACACACACACACACACACACACACACACACACACACACACATATAGGAGCTGTGCAAAATGAAGCAAAGCATACATAACGGCTAGCATACAATCATTGTAGAGACGTCGAGGTATGATGGTCAGCTCATGGTTTTATATGATTCAGACAATATCGGGTTCACTCTTTGCAATATTTTGAATCAACAATGAATATATATATGTGTATATAAATACATAAATACATACATAATTGGTTGGTCTAACATTCTTCAAACTCTTTACTTGGTTGATATTTTTGCCTTATGACAACGACAATGTTTATAACAGCTCACAGTGTTAACTTATAGAATTTAATTGCATTTCATATCTATGAACAAAAATTAGATTTACTTAATTTCGTATTTTATTTTCTAGCCCTAAAGTGCATATCGTCACACCATTACTCTAACAGGTGGGCCAGCACTATTGAAAGTGAAAGTCAAGCCAAGTACTGTTAATGGTTTTATGTTATAGTGTGTGTGTGTGTGTGTGTGTGTGTGTGTTTTACAGAGCGAGCTCTGCAAACAGACAGAGGTCTTTTATCAGAGCCACTGGCAGAACTGGGCCAGATGGAGTACCAGCTGCTCAAGTTCTTCACCCTGCTGTGAGTATACAGAGCGACACACACACAGACACCAACATCACCACCATCACCTCCTCCGTCAGCTGACTCACAGCTATACACACACACACACACACTGCGAGCATTATATAAATAGTGGGCGATTCACTCCGTCAACCTGAACACAAAGGGATCAGACCTCGTATGAGACGAAACTTAATTATGAATGATCGTGAAGCCTTAGTGTCCTTGAGAGAGCAGTGATTCCCTTTGTGCTCCTGAAGGTTTGTCATATTGCTGACGGTGACCTCTGACCCCCCCCTGTTCACACTGGCATATCACAGATTACAATCCATATAAATTACAATGAAAACGCAGTATACATTTAGGCCTGACATGTAATACTCAATGCATGCATATTAAGTCACTCTTGAATGAATTAAAAGACGAATAAATGTCACTCTTACATTATTTATTTTCATTGTTATGTTATCATTGTGTGGTAATACAGTGCAGGTTTATTTTAGATAACCTACACAACATTTTGAAATGTTCCATCGCTACTCAGTAAATGTTCAGCAGTAATATAAAGTGATTTGCAAAACGTGTAACAATAAGATGAAAAAAGAAGCACTGCTCTGGTGCTTTAAGACGGATTTAAACTGTTGTTCAAGGACAGTGAAGTGCTGTGATATGTTGAGAGAAAGTCAAACGTCGCCTCCCAGTGTTCATCAAAAGACATTACAGCTCTCTTCCTCCACATAACCAGAGGATCATCATCACTAAACCTTTTTACGTTTGTCCTAATCTGTGTGTCTCGTGTTCTTTGGTCAGTATTATTCTCCTCATCCTGTCGTCCTGCTACCTGGCCTTCCGTGTGTGCAGTCTGGAGCAGCAGCTGTCCTTCCTGAGTAACCCAAATCTGCCCCTGAGAGAGAGGTAACGCTGCAACAGCTGCTTCAGCAGGCAATACGTGTCAAAGAAAAACACATTGATATATCAGAAATAAAGGACATTCAGTGTCCATGAAAGTTTAGATTTAGTCATAAGAGACAGAATAATCAAGATGTGTGAGACAAGAAGAGTTATGTTTAGTATGTTGTATTATTATATGATATATTATATTTTATGACATTGTTATTTAACAGGAACAATACTAGTAAATACAATCACATCAAAATAAATAAACGTGTACGATGTTTCTAGATGTCCCTGGAGGGTGTTTAGATATGTTTAGGTAAAACAAATGAGGTTTGGGTAGAGGTAGTTAGATATTCTGTTGGTTTTCTCATGCACAGTATTGGTGTGTGTGCTGGGATGAAATAATAACAAAAAGAGCCGATCTAAGCGGTTGATTTACTCTCCATTTAATCCAGAGAGTCCACTAACCTGGCTGCTTTCTTCTCATCCAGGTAACCACCGCTCTTAGCTGTGACACATCGGATTGCCGGCTTTTTTTCTCCTCTCATGCTTTGAGCTGACGATGCCCTCGTGCACAGATCCAGCACCAGCATTAGAGCCCAGAAGAGATCAACCAACACGTACCGACATGAAAGGAGCAACATCAGCCCGAGCCCAGGCGTCTGACAGACCTTCCCCTCCGTCAAATGACTTCCTATCTAGTGATCACTTCCAGACTATGCAAACAGACTATTTATTTCTGAATTTAAAGTAGGTTTTACTGTAGATTATGATTGTCTACCATTGCCTTTCCCTCTCACAGACATTTCATCTTTTACCACATGACCCTGCAGCGTAAATCTGTAAACATTGAAATAGCGAGCAGATTGCAGTTGAAGCTGCCGTTTGTGACAGTGAAGGCGTTTAGGAGTGGTGGTTGAGACGAGAGGCGAGGACAGAAAGGTAAGAGATAATTCAACACATTAATTACTTGAAAAGACGGTTAGAAAAGACATTTCAGGTGAGTTGTGGTGTTTATATCAAACATTTTCTGACGGACGAGTTGACTAAACCAAATGTTTGTTTGTCTTTCTGGTGAGGTCTTGCCATAGCCCTCAGTCGACGGCTAAAACAAACTACAACAAAATGCACTTTTTAAAAAAATATGTCCACATTATTTCAAATGTATGTAACAGTTTTAAGAGTTTAGATCTATGTTATTCTTGATAATAGGTACTCGGTTGTCATTTTTGAGGGTTCTTATGGAAGGAAGTCATGTTATGAGCACAGATACTTGACTGATTGAAGTTACCTGTCATTTAGCACCACTTGTTGGTGTTATCTATAATGTGAATGAGATGGTTCGGCGACATGCATCATTTCTGTTTTAGTTGTGATAATCTGCTGTATGAAAGGAGTTCCCAGGATGTTTTATTTTTATTTTATACATTTCAATTGAAGTCACCAACGACTTAAAATGGACAGAGTGAGGTTCATGTGACTATATCTTTGTCTAAAGGTGTATTCAATGATTTTGCAGACATGGGTGGAATGTTGTCCTGGACTAGTTTGTGAAATCCTTAAGAATTAAATTGGCAAGAAAATGTAGACAAAGAAAAAGTGTTTGCGACTTTTATTTCTTTGGACATTTTAGGTGTCAAGATTTAACCCTTCAACCTCCCATCCTGTCAGATCAGCACCACACACAGGACCACCATGAACAGCTGTGACTCCGACAGCACAGTAACATTCAGTAACCTCTTCAACTCAGCCTGAATTATTACGCTGGAACGCAATGTTGGCAGAAGCACTTCTTAATACGTGACATATGGAGCGTTGGCTGTTCACCAGCGGCATTGGTTTATTTCCAAGTTTCTGACTAAATTGAATAACTTTATACACTGTTTTCGTGGACTAAATGTGTATATTTTGAAATGCATGAAAACAGATAAGTGTTTGACGTCTGACTGATGGAAAAAGACTTCATAAACTCAAGAAGCTGGAGAGTTTTCTAAACCCACAGAGAAACCATGTGACCCCTAAACCGACACGAAGGCAGCTGGAGTTAAACGTTTTCACGAGACAACAGTGACATTGACTTATATCTCATTCTGTAAAAGTATGATGTGCAGTGTTTTTACTAATAAGCTAAGAAAGGAGTGCATCTGAGTAAGATTTTGATAATTGACGACAGTTGACCCCGAGGTCGGATCATAGAAATAGAATGAAAGTAGAATGGACATTCCCATTCTAATCAACGTAGCAGGTTGGTCAGAGCGGCGGACATTTTTTTGTGTACCGTTGCCACTGCAAAGAACTTGTAGCCGGCTAACTCGCTCTATTTCTACGGTCAATGTACGGTCAGTGCTGAGCGCCATTTTCTTCAAATAATCACTGCAGACAGTCGAATGTCCGTTCCACTCTCATTCTAGTTGGACACTGTCCCGTTTTATTCTGTACCATTCTCACTTTCAGAATCACAAATGCAATGTGAATTTAAAAGGACGTCTGCAGCTCAGATCGATTAAATGACAAACAAAGTTAGTTCACACTGTTTCCACACTATAACGTAATCATACTGCCGTGCTTTTGAACAGAGCAACTCTTCAAGTACAGGTGAATAATAAGGAGCTAAGGAACAGCTTTCCACTTTTATTTACCCTTAAATTTACAATCTACAAGATCTGTTTCCTTCTCTTCGGCGGCACCTTTGGCGATAAGCGGGTGTGTTTTTGAATCTCTCCTCCCTTCTGTGTGCCGCTTGTCAGTTTTCCCAGTAATGTCGCCACAGACGTTTGTAAAATTGCAAACGCAAGGGCTTTCATGCCTGCTTGCCCGGGGGCCAAGTTAAACGCCATGTCGAAGGAGTAAATCACTGACAGCGTATTTACTCTGGATCGGCTTATTGCAGCTGTTTGTTGAAGCTATGTGATATTTAATCTGAGTTAATATTCAAACCCAAGACTCGTTTTATGGCTCTGCCACAAAATAGTCCGACATATTTGACAACTCTGGGATCTCCTCAACAATTTCCCATAAAGTTCTGGTTAAAGGATAATAATGTTGTGTTGCACAGTGTAAGTAGTGTTGTAGAGTTGTCTTTCATAATTTTGTATACTCAGTACAATAAAATTCATCATCTCACTTGCTCAATAGTTCGGTCTTTGCAACTTCAAAGGCCGGACCACCTGAATACCATGACAACCTGAGTGATTGACAGGAGGCGTAGTTCCCACAGTGAGTGGGCAGACAGGAAGACATCGGGTTCAGAGGGTCACTGTCTGAGGAATATGCCAGGAATCCGGCACAACCGATCCTGAACAAACCTGCTGACGATCAAAACCTGAACTCAACAATGTTTCATCATTTTAGGACTTTTAAGAACAGCTTGAAACCGTGCTGCAAGATCTAAAAATCATATTGGACATATTCTTCAGTCACAATATTTGCAGAATACACGATTTAGTTTGATGTTCTGGAAGATGATTGTTTCTAAATCTAGAATGAATCGTAAATGTATCTGACACCTAAACATTTTGTACATTTAGTGTATATTTAGTTTGAACGTTTCACATTTTTCCTAAGACACACTGGGAGTTTACAGAAGTTTTATTTAAAGTAAATACCGAGTAGTAAAATAAAGTGGTTACAAACGCTGCAAGGCTCACTGGGAGAACTCTTGGTGAATGGCCATTTGCAAACCAGGAATTCCCTACATCAGCATTCGAAGAGGCATATTTCTGACGGACAAAATACACATTTTCTGCAGTTCTCATGCACAACTCCACTTCAAGATCACAACTGATAGAAGAAGCAGCTAAAGAAAGGAAAGTGAAATTAAGTGGATACAAAACCCTCAAGGATTTGGTTCATTACATTACAGTGTTCCTTCAGAGGTCCAAAAAAAGATTGTGATTATTTGGTCACCTTGACACCAAAGAAACTACTTTTAAAAATGTCCTCAATAAGTGCCCAGTGTTTAAAGTCCATTATTCTAATGGAGATTTTATCTCTGGGGGATGTTTTAAAGAATCACACTTCAGGTTTGTTATGAGAAAGTCCGATTTAAAACCATTTGGGAAAGACTCTTGAAATCTGTGACTGTTGAAACATCACAGCTGTTCGCTCTTATTGATTCAGAATTGTTTCATCTTCAATTGGCATACGAAACTCTTTTCAAACTTTTAAACAATTTACCCGAACAAATGCATTCATCAATCAGTAAAAAAGCTTATTTAAGATATACGTAGATCTCCTCAGTCCGTTTTTATTCTTCATTCCTGTTTAGCTGTTTTATATAAATAGACATGTCATGCTGTGCTGTAACGGATATATTTACCAGTAATACATAATACAAGTGCTACACTTAAGTACTGAGGTACTTGTAATCCCCTTAAAAGCTGCTTCAAGACCTTTTTTTTAGTTTAGCATTATTATTACAGTATTTGTATCATTTGCTCATCAGTGGTGAAATGTAAAAAATAAGACATTTGCTCAAGTACTGTACTGTACACTTTTCAGGTACTTCAGTGTTTTTATGTATTTTGTTATGCTACTTTATACTTCGACATTTTATAGGGAAATATTGCCGCTTTTACTCCACTACAACAGCTGTAATTACTTCACAGATTTACATATTTCACATACAAAACTTGATCAGATTATAAAATATGATACATTTTTCACCCAACTTTATATACGTACTTTTAATTAATTGAATGTACACTATTCTGATAAAACTCCCAGACTTCTACTTGAATTACATTTTAAAGGCAGGAAGTTTACTTATAATGGGGTATTTTTTGGTGGTATTTGTACTTTTACTGCCATAATTGATGCATGCTTACTTTGCATGCAATAAATGTGCTCTAGAAACAAGTTCATTCTAATGATTAGCTCATGCTGCACCTAGTTTATCGGTCTCAGCAGAATAGCAAGTCTTCTGGAGACCTTAAGAAGCACAAAGGGCTGGGGCCGACCATCGTAACTCTTTGTGTGAGTGTGTAAGTCAGTTTTAGCTGTGGGGTAATGACGGCAGGTCGAAGCAGATGGTCAGACAAGCTGCAGCCTCATCCATACCTCCGGGGAGTCGTATTGTCTGTTGTGGAATGCTCTCCCGGTGACCTTTCACCTCTGGTGTGAAGGAGAATGCTGACTGTAACTTCACGGTTATGGGCTGAATCCCACACGGTGAAATCGTCGCACACAAGCCGCATTACTGGAGGTTTTCCTGGAACACATTACCACAGCGGTGCATTTAATGTGTCCGCGTCTGCTGGGAGCACAATCCAAATGCATTACAGTTAATCAATGCATGAAGTGAGAGGTGCCGTGTGTCACTGCAGTAGTGCACTGTGCAAATATTTATTCCCATCCGAGGTGGGTTTAGAACCAAAGATCCAGAGAGAATACAACTACAAATGCCGTTCATCTTACAGAAGATATTCTACACTAAGGCAATAAAATGATAGCTTTTCTTTTTACTTTTTCTTTTAAAAAGTTATGGAAGTACACTTTGTGAAATCACAATTAAACAAGATTGAAAAACTGATAATTTGATGTAAAATTCTGCACATTGGTTTATACTTTCACAAGGCAAGCCATAATGAATTGTATTGGAGAACAATCTATCTTTAATAGAGTGCTGCAGGGATGATGTATTTTTGTCGGCCAGCATCTCACTGGTTCCGTTGGATTATTGAAAATAAGCTCTGTGGCTAACACAAGATTATAATACTTACATGTTTTATTCAGCAAGATAACCTTCACAAATGAACACCACTTTTATGATTTTGAAGCAAAACGCTACCGTTGAACTATAAATGAACTACACCACGGTTGCATTAGCGCAAGTACACAAGAAAAACCCACACAGTCTCACTTAGCCACTTGCTAAGAATAAAGATTCACGAGAGGGGTATTTACTGACGTATTTAATTTGGTAGAAACACACTTTTAAATCTCTTAAGCTTGTGTTAACCACAGACCTTACTTCAGGTATCCAACTGCCAAGCCACATTTGTGAGGGGAAAGAAACAGTAAATAGGGATGTATTTCTATTATCTCTACGTAAAAGCAGCCAACAAGAAAGCATGCCATCATCCCAGGTGGCTGCAATTGAGTTTGATTGTACAAAAACATAGTCAGCTCATTCAAAGTTTCAATGGTAAAACGTTTAATTTATTCCCTGCAGTCGACCCAAAAGTTAAACTGTGTTTTTGATTATCGGAGGTACAACACACACACACGCCCCAGTATTCACAAACAAGTGGGATAGTTTCACTACATTTATGCGTCCATGTGCCCACCATTGACTGTGAGCGTCAAGTTCACACCCATTTTCTGGAGAGCTGTTGAAATGCATTCTGGGAGTTATGGGAAACCAGTCAGATTAGGCCAAAACAATATATTAACATTAGTATGTAAGGGAGAATTTATTCTTTAAGTAATGACTATTCCTTATTGGACAAAGTCTCTCATTGGGAATTTTAGTTTAAATCTTTTGAATGGTTTGAATCTTAAACATGGCATCAAATCTACTGCACCTTTTCATTTTATTTTCCTTTGTCTATTTCTCTCTGCGTTTGCATCTGCGCTTCATCAGCTCTTTGCATTTCTTCACTTTTCCTTCCAGCAATAACTAATTCAACCCAGTAAGTGAAAGATCTGCGGTCCATCATCATAAGTGTCCACAAAGTGACACAATGTGGTGAAGCTAGGAAAGATTTGTTTTCAAATTAAGGCTTTTGTAGTTTGAGCCATTAAAGACAGAAAGTAATTTGTAACTTAAAGTAATAGATATTGTTGATGTAAAAGATATTTAGTTGGAAATTTGCTAACATGCATTCTTGCTGTGAATTAGATTATAAAATTGATACTCTCTTATATGGAAAATGGAAGTTTACAGTAAGCAGCCGGTTAGCTTAGCATAGAACACATTCTGGAGCTAGACTTGCTCTGTCAAATGGCCACAAAATCCGGCTACCAGCACCTCTAAACCTCAGAGGTTCAACACATTATATCTTGTAATCTGCAAGACGTACAAGAACTGCAGTGTAAAAATTAAAAGCCATGGTTTAAAGGTGCTGGAAAGCATATTTCTTTTACCATTGGATAGAGCTAGGCCAGTTTTCTTCCCTCCTTCCAGTATATATGCTAAGCTAAGCTAACCAGCTGCTCGCTGTAGCCTTACCATACAGACACGAAAGTCTCTGCAAGAAAGCATATCAGCGCATTTCTCAAAATCTCAAGCTTTTGTCATAAATATCTGTCAGAGTTTAATAGGTTTAATATTCACTGGTGACACCACTATTTATTTCCATGATGCTAATCCTATCAAAATGGGATTTATGGGATTATTTATAGGCAATTCACGCAGCACTTTAGAAGAGATATTGCTCCAATTCCCTGGTTGCCACTAGAGGTTGATAAAAGTCAAGCATTACTTACATCTTATTAACTGCTCACAGATTTCCCCAAATGTGTTTGTTATGGTCTTGTTCTGCTGCTTCACATCAGATTTTAGTAAAATATTTTACATGTTGAGGATGTGGCCTCTAGTTTCTTATTTTGGATTTAAGATGAGCAAATTCCCAACCGTTTTCTACAGGGACAGAAGTTCTCATACAATGGCTGACATACATAATTCTAGTTTGCCATCTGATCCAAGGACAAGGACAAGCCTGTCTGGCACGTCTTCATTTCACCGGGTACAGTGTGTGAACATGGAGCACGATGGTGACGCCTTATCTCGGGGGAATCATGCTGCACAGGCGGCGGAGCATCTAATTCTTGCCCTCTCCTTTCCATTCCCGATGTGATGTTGTGATACGGACCTGACCTACTTCCTCCTGAACAACACGTGTTGCCGAGCAGTTGCACACCTGGAAACAGTGCCGTCCAGGATGTGAGTGTGTCGGTTTGGGCCTCTTGAAAGGATGTTGCTTGTTTTAATCAAACTGATTCTCACGCATCCTGTTGTAAATTAAGCTGAAATGGTTCCAACGTTGTGGCTGGTTGCAGATGTGTTGTGACAGGACATGATGTAATGTAGAATTAACGCTCCCAAAACAAGATTTATTTCGGATTTCAGAGACAGTTCTGAGCTCAATGTATGGTTTGTGTGTGAATGCGTATTTGCGTATGTACTCGTACATGCTCCAGGCCCGAGGGGTTCCATCTGATGAGTAAATATGAACCACCTGGAGATCCTGGAGGGGAAACCTTGGCTGCTGCTCCTGAAATCAACTACACACTGATGAAGAACAGAGGTGAGTGAGTTCACTAATGGAGCTCTGTGTTTGTTTGTGTCTATAAATGAAGGTATACTGTATGTGTTCTGTCTACATTTGTGAGTATTTTTAATGCGGGCAGAGCTCAAATCTGTTGTAGCAAACGTGCTTTAAGTCTCTTGGAGTGTTTTTTTAAGTCCTCACAGTGTTTTTAAAGATGTGTTCAGTAGTGAGGACCACGGCGCAACAATGAGCCTCGAGCAGGAAGCCATATACAGTAAGCATGTTTCCTTCGATGTTTGTCCGTAATCCAGGATTTGTTCTTATTTTGTTCGGTACCACCGATTTCTGGGATTCACCAATGTTTTCTTGCAAGTTTTTTTGCTCCTCTTAGATAAGAGAATGGTCGAGAGCACTCTTAGCAAAATAAGAAAAAACATCTGATTATCACAGTGCACAAATTGTTTGTACAATGCAAAGAAGCAAATGTTTTAAATGTGAGTAACATAAATGTGTGAATATCATATAATCAAGTTTAGATTATTAGATGCTTTAGAGTTACCATGATTGGATTATTAACTTTGTGGGCTAAAAAAATACTATTGGTCCATTGATCCCAATTTAAGACCATACTATATAAAATATATATATATATATACTATAAAAACCTTTGGATGGTATTGTTTGTATTGCTCTTTGATGCTTTTTGATTTTCCTGTAACACCACTAAAAAATCCCATGCTTTCTTTGTTTACATTTATTCACTCCTGCTTAAGTTCTTCTTCTTACAGCACGTTTTGTTGGCCATATGCCGGAGTATTTGCATACAGCACAACACCTTCCCTTATATGGTGTTTAGCGGGCGTTGCCTATGCTAATAATAAACAATAGGTGACAGGTGGGATTCAGCACACCTGAGTTGGAGCCGATTTGGATGGGTAAGGACGTTTGGTACATTTGGAGTTGAAATCTCTTTTTTTCCCAGAAAATTAAGAGAATGTTGCTTCATTAAGACCAGTGTGAGTTTAATGAATTTTACAGTTCCTTTGGTCAAACTGTTGTTTTTGGGTCCGATCGCTTTTCTGATCTGTAATCACTCTCATCATGTTTGATTGTTGTCCAGTACAGTTTCATAGTTTCACAGTTGCTTCCAGTAAAGACTTTAAAGTACAACTGCTGTCTTTAACCTTTATTGAATGTGTGTTTAGCTCACTGTACCTGCACCTTCTGTCCTGAAGGTGAAGCACAGCCTTCAGCAATTTTTCAGTAGGCACACTTGTATATATTTACAGCAGGACAGAAGCAGCAATACTAAGAAGCTTTGTTTCAGGCCACAGAAAGATGTGCATTGTTTGCCAAAAGAGCAAAGAGCAGAGTTCAGTATTTTGTAGGATTTTAAGTTTATCTATCTCAGTTTCGGTTATCCGGCACATAACAAGGTGCCTCTTTTGTATCCTTTTGTAAATTATGACACCGAACTGTGGTGCACTACTATGCTCTTAGACTACCACGACATGAGAGGACAATAGACAGAGAGTCAAGTTCGGTTTCCTTGTAAGCACCCGTGGAGTGGACTTGGTAAATTGGCCATTTAGGAGCAAATCTGTCTACATTACTGTGCCTTTCCCTGGGCTCTTTGTCTCACTAATGCAGTGTACTGCCAGGGTGGTGAATGCCCCGGCTTTGTGGCATTTTATTAGGACAATAGTAAAAACCTGACGGCTCGTCTGACCGGTTACTCCGGGTGAAATATGCCTGTGGGATGTAGATGTGCACAGGAATCCAGAGGAAGCACAGCAGAGGGTGGAAACAGTCCGAGCACTGTGAATGTTAAGAGCAGGGCAGGACAGCCAGCCAGATCAGGAGGTGGTGTCCTTAATTTACTGCAACATAATTACGGATGAGTATTCCTGATTATACTCTGTCTGCTCAATTGACTTCATGTAAACAGATTTTTTAAATGACCTGTTACGTTTTTTAAAATCCTCTCTTTTTCCTATCAAACTCTTCAACAACGGTTTGCTTTCAGATAACATGAAGAGATATCTCTTCATCTAAATTGTGACGTATCTTCACCTTCACCACACTAGCTTTGGCTTCCTAGGGGAAGTGAAATAAGAGAGGACAGCGATTGTTTATTCCTTTGCTCGCCCTTTTCCTGAAATCACATTTGACATTTCTGTGAATGCTCTTTTCCTCTGGATGGGGTCAGTGTTACTTTAGTTATGCTCACTTATAAATATGTCAAAGGCCACAGTCTGACTCTGAATAGTAACGTTGTAAATACAGAATAGTTTGACCTTCCTGTGTGCTTTCTTAATTTGAAGTACAATGCTGGACGACAGCTTGTACCGTTCTATGGAAACTATGGATATTTTTGACACTTCTAAAAATGGAAGCCGTTTCCTTTTAATAGATGAACATAAACGTTTTAAAGATTACAAAGTTAGTCTCTGTTTTAGTTTTCTGAATAACTGCTACAGATTTCCTGCAGTCGCAACACAATGAGGTTTACACTTTGCCCCCGATGTGTTTCAGCTTTATTTAGCTGCGATCCATCAAGCTGTTCCATTCTTGTAAGTATTATCATACTTTCTTTCAAAGCACAAAAATAAGATGTTTCAATGGTAAGCTGTTGAAATGTGAGTCATGACTGAATTGTTTGTTGCACAAAGATTGAAAATAAGTTTAATTTGAATGTGTTGTCAGACTCTTAGTTCTGTTTACATATTGTAATCTATCTCTGATTCGTGATAATCGCATACCTTTTTTAAATTGAAGACAAAGTTTGTCATTTATTACCATTTAATTGTCAAATACTCGGACTATAAACATGTTAAACCCCAAAGTAAGGTATCCAAAACTAATAAAAAGCACATTTGCCATTTTGTCAACAAAATGTGACAACAAGTTTATTGGATCAACAGACAGTTTGATGCTTTTTGTGAGAACGTATCATACGTTCCACCTCTCAACATTGCCTTTTGTCCCATTGACAGCCACAACACACAGTGCACGGCTCACCCTCATACAGCAATTTGCTTTGAAACATTTCAAAACTAAAAGTTTGTAGTTGTAGACGTTAACGAACATGTGACACGAAGCAGGAGCCAAAGTTAAGATTCACATTCTTATCGTCAATTCTAGTTAATTTAAAATGACCCTGAGCAATAATCTGTGTAAACATTTCTACAGTCGCCCGAAACGAATACAACGGAGAAAGTCTGTTTCACTCCATCCTCACCAAGTACGTACACGGGAGTACATTTCTTTGTAGGCATGCTGGTGTTCAGGTTTACATATTGTATGTTGCTGTGCGTATACAAGGCATAAACATGACACTAAGTTCTCAAAGAATCCTATAAGATCTCTAAGCATGTATTATCTTTTTAAACCTTTTCCTCTATTATTGAGTGTGATAGAGACTGTAATAGAAATACATGTCATAAGTAGTTATATACTGTATTCAAGGAGTGCAATCCGATGCTCCAGCAGTAGATCTGTAGAGAGGGACAGCTGTTCTGCATATAGTGAGGGGGGGGCAATCGACGTGCTAAGGAAAGGACAGAGCGCAGCACAGGTCATTCTGAGCTAGAGTCTGGATCAGTCTGCACAACTCGGCCCTCTTCTGGGTGATGTAGGCCGGGGTGATGATTTGCACCGGAAGGCGCGGCGAGCCCTCCACCTGGGCCTTCTCACACAAGGCCTCCGCGATACAGATCACATACATGCCGCAGTCGTAGCTGTTCTTCTGCGACGGGCAGGGCTCCTCCACAAACTGCGCTTTCCTCCCCGCGCCCAGGAAGGGCTCCAAGTTGACGGCAATGCGCCGCGCGTGCAGTGAATTGCTGCCGTTTTGAGAGTCGTAGTGTGCAAAGTGGTTGGAGTTGTGATGGTAGACCAAAAGGCTCCAGTGGGATCCCCCGGCGCTCTGGTTGGAGTTGTCGTTGACAGCGAGGAAGACCCATTGGCGAGAGGCAAGATCCAGCGGCTCCAGGAATAGGGCCAACTCATTAGGGCAGGAAGCACACTTGATGAACTGGGCAACCTCCGGGCTGATGAAGGTGACGGTCTCCCCCAGGACTCCGAAGCGCTCAGCGGAAAAGTACTCGAAGGCAAAACCAATGACTTGGTCGTTGAGCCAGTGAGGTCCTTCCAGTAAGGACACATCAGAGCGCCGCAACAGGCTGTCCTGGTAGCTCAGCATGACTGGGTCCATCCTCCAACACAGAGAGTCGGTCTGGAAAATACAGAAGATTTTAGTACAGCAAGGTCTTCAGAAAGTTCATCAATAATTATTGCCAATTCATATTAATTTAGCAAGTACAAATAACAAATGTATCATCTTAATTGTGAGAATTGTTGTCTTTTCTTTGTCTCATGTGGTCGTAAATTAATTTGGGTTTTAGACTATTGCTCGCTCAAAGCAAGCAATTTGAAGATGTCACATGAGGATTTAGGGGAATTATGATGTTGATTTTTTTATTCAATTTATCAAGAAAGTGTCTAGCTCCAGTTTTAAAGTGAGAAACATTTGTGAAAGCAGCAAACAACACTTTTTTACTGTGATGTATCAAAACGAATCTTGCACATTATGTCGGAAAACCAATTACTGATCTTCATGTGATGACAACTGCTACTGCACAGGGAGGAGGCTGTGTTCAAGTCAACGTAGGTGTTACTTATTACATAAACCGTTAAACTTCACTGGAGCTGAACACGTAATGATCGGTGTGGACCGTTACTCCCTGAGACACGTTACTTGGAACTGGGTTATCGTATAAAGATATATATTTACAATGACCTTTGATTTGACACAACTGACAAAAGCCAAACAACTCAGCTAAAAAGCTATTAAAGCATGTAGAACATAAACAGTATGCTGTCAAATTAAAATCTGCTCTTGATTAAATGTCCATACCTGTAAAAGACACACTCAGATAAAAAGTACCACGAAAACTGCAGTCTTGTCCCTCATTGCAGTGACTAACGTAAAGTGCTGCAGAAAGACCGTTGACGTTTGTTTTTGCGACACGCAGTACATTGAAGGAAATGCTATCCGTTTGATTCGTTACCACCAGTGATTTGAAAAGTTGTCGGTGCTTAGATTTTACTGTTATATAACCCAAAATTCAGCCACGTATGTAGAAAATGAACATATATACCGCTATGGCAATCGTATATAAACTCAAAATACACGTTCAGATACGTTTTAGACTTAATTTAAAAGCATGTGGTGTGATGTGTGTTTACCGCTGCCGTGTTATCTCCTTCTCCTGTCTACTTCCGGTTTTGTTACGGAAGCTGGACTGGATCTTATGAACTGGATACCTGGGTCAAATATAGCGCCCCATTAATTCCTATGAGAATTGCTCAACGGGTGCACATGAGCTATTTATATATCCTCACACTTTAGCGTGTTTAGGCCATAGAGCATGCGCACTAGAGTCCTTATTCAACCGAGCCGGTTGAGGGTTCAGAAAAATGAATTAATCATTTAACAACCGTTCCTTTGTCAGGAATTGTGAATCTGAAACACATTTTTTGGGGGCGTTATGATGAACGCGGAAGTTGCAATATCTCGTGCGGCCACTACGTTAAAATCTCCCCCAAATCTCCCGGTGGCTCGGCTCCGTCATTCTCCGTCTCCCTCCCTCCCGGTCCTCCCTCTCTATTCTCTCCCCCCGCCCAGGAGCAGCGTGACCGCGCTCTGCAGCGCGTCCCCGGAGCCGCGGCACTGATTAGCAAGGCAAAGTGGAGTTTTCAGCGACCGTCAGCGAGCTGCGAAGAAGGACTGCTCTTTTAATGACATTCACAACAACCGCGAACACGCACAGATAATAACAACAAAAATTTCGGACTTGAATTTCGAGGAGTTGTTCGGAGGCGAGCAGCGGGAGAAGAGAAGGAAAACAAATAAATTCATTGGGAATGCAGAGAATTAAATAGAGACGTAGGTATTTGTGGCTCTGCAAACCCAAACCCAGAGCAGACGGGAAACAACTTGAGTCCCACTTACAATTGACTTCAGCGGTCACGTCTGGAGGTAAGAGTGTGATGTTTAGTAGTTGGGACACTGTGTGTGTGTGTGTGTGTGTGTGTGTGTGTGTGTGTGTTTGGTGGGACGAGGGGCTTTGGGGCTGCAATCAACCAGTGAATCAAGAAAACGTGTTCCTTTTCTTTTAATCTTCGCTCTTTTGCAATATCCGCGCTTTTAAGGTGTGTGTGTGTGTGTGGGCTCAGCCGGTGCTTTTGTTGTTGTTGTTGTTGTTGTTGAATGAATAGTCACAACCAGAGGTGTGTTTGTGTGTATTAATGTGTGGAGTGAAAAGTTTAATTTACAGCTCATTGTCATGTGTCATGCACAGAGTGTTTGCTCTACTCCTAAATGTGACACCCTGTCAAGATGATGGGCCCTTGTTCATTTTGTTGATTTATTGATATCATTATGATGTAAATGTGTCCTCTGTAGTTCCTGTGCAGGTTGATGTTGTTATGCATCGAAACAAACAAACAAAAAGCAGACAAAACATCAACTCGCATGCCCATATAGGATGATGCAGCATAAATGAAATAACCCCTTCCAGTATTTAGTCATCATCTTCATCATAGGGGGAAGTTCTGTGCTGGTTTGAGTGTTTGTCCGCAGTAGGGTGGGGTAAATGTTTGCATGTATTATTTAGCGGAGGTCAGACAGTACAGCTTATAATGCAGTGGAGGCAATAAAAGACTGCAAAGCGGCTGTAATTGTACAGGGAGGTCTAACGGGGTGAGGAAGCTGCTGAATCATGGGTGCACGCCTCAGTCTGCCCAGTGGACAGAGAGTCGACTTCACTCACTTCATGGCTGCAAACTCACCAGATATCATTCTGTGCAAGATGCCTTTAATCTACCTTGTGTTTTGTGACTTTAGTGTTGCTTTTGGAGGCTTTGGTTTACATTGTTGTCTGTGCTGCTCTATTGTGAGTTTCTAGTTCCTTGTTGTACTTGCTGAGGATCTTTTGGGGGCATTTTGTTCCTTTTTTTTTTTTTTTTTTTTATGTAGTGATGACAGGAAAATGAGGGGAGTAACATGTCACAATGGTCCTCCGCTTGGGACGTTGCATTTCGTGTTCAGTAACCTGAACACGCCCCTGATCATCTTCCATCACTGTGTCTGTGTGAGCATTATATAACACCCCTATTAGATTTAGATCAGGATTTCTGTGATAGTCAGGGCTGAATGTCTCCGTATCATGGTGCTTTTCTTTACCCATTCTTCTCTTTTCATTAGTAAAACCATTAGTAGTTTGCTGCTTTAGTTTAGTATCCCTGTATCCTTTAATATCTGCAAGAAAGACTTTAATTCAAGTAGCTGTGAGGTTCCCTCGAGAGCTCGTCCTGCCCTCAGATCAGCACAGGTGATGCGGGTGAAGTGGGTCTGTCCTGCAGGAATGTGAGGTCTTGAGAGGACCCAGCTGCCGTTCGCATGAGAGGCGGCCCAGGCCGAGACTCCGGCAACTGGTCCCTGTCGACATCTGACACCCCACAGGCCCCCTTCTGTCTGCTATTTCTAAAAGACCGGCCTCGGTTTGTATCACATCGGGGGCCGCGTCTGTGTCGGCCGATATCACCGGCACCACCTGAGAGACCCAAGCTGTGGCCTGGAAGGGTTTTGCAGGAGATCGTCTGCTCGGTTGTAGGATATTTTGTGGTTCTATGAACGTATTGCAGCACTGGAATAACAAGACAATCTGCACTAGTTTAAACTAGTTTGATGAAGGTGGACAAACCGTTCCTTGTAAAAAACAATGCATCACTTCATGCAGAGTTTCATCTTCACAGCCACATCATTTGGGATTCAGTCCGTGTCGTCTCAGGCAAACAATGAATGGCTTCACCTTGTTTTACAACCTTTTCATACGTGCAGGTTGTCATGGATGGTTTGAGTTATTTGTCCGGAGATCATTTTGCGCTAAAGAAGACGTCTCCTCTGTGTCTTAGTGGGTCATAAATATAACTGCAGCACATTTTAGATGCAGACCAGCTGAGGCATCACGAGGGCAGGAAGAGCAAACCGCCACTCTGCAGCTTTAAACCCTCCTGTCATAAGATATTTATCAGCGGCAGAATAACTCTGTCTTTATATATAACCTCACATTCTGAGAAATATGCCTGTGGTTTTTAGAAAATACTTCTGTAGATATTGTACAGATATCAAAATTAGAATGAGGTTAAGAGAGTTATTGCTGCTGGGGTGACGACAGCAGAACTTATCCGGCTATTTTTATTGTCGATTATTCGATCGATTAGTCGATCAGTGTTTCCCAAAGTCCAAGATGATGTCCTAGAATGTCTTTGTTTTGTCCAAAACTCAAAGACATTGAGTTTACTGTCATGGAGGAGTAAACAAACCAGAAATATTCACATTGATGAAGCTGGAATCCGAGAATTTTTACTTTATTTTTCTTAAAAAATGCCTCAAACCGATTAATCAGTTATCAAAATAGTTGGCGATTAATTCCATAATTGATACCTAATTGATTAATCGCTGCAGCTCTATAGCTTTTGCTACACTTAACATTATTTTTGGAAATTTTAACATGATGGTGGGCTTTTGGGTGGGACAATTGCAAACACCTTCTTTTATAATTCATTTCTAACAGAACAGGAGGATAAAGGAAAGTATTTATTTTGCCATGTACATTTACATTTTGCCTCATTTCCTGCTCAAAGTTCACCACATTGTGACCCCTATGTGACTGTAACTGTGTGTAAATAGGCCTTCGTGTGATATATTACCACTGTGTCATAGTTGCAGTTCCTGTAAAATTGCAGCCTTGGGAAGAAGGCTTGTATCCTCGCATTCATTTCTTTGTTCTCTAAAAGCATAAATACAGTGTTTGAAAAGTGTAGTGGCTCCTCAAACATGATGTTTTGTTCTCTTTATAATTGACGTAACAAGCCTCTCTGTGCTGTGGCGACTTCTTTGCACATCCGCAGCAGCTTCTTTAAGCACAGGGTTTCCGACATACCCCCATCATCGGGTGTTACCTGCCGAACCCGGTCGCAGCTTGTGTTTTGGGGTGGAAAGCAGGAGTCACGTGCTGCAGGCCCACATGATCGGGATGTCCTGAAAAGTGGCCGCATGATGGGATTGTGTGGCCAAAGTGATCGGCATGCACATGAAGTCATTAAAGAGGAACCTGCTTGTGTTGCACGGAACAAAGCTCCCCTTTCTTTAGAAGGCCATTATATGAGGGAGGCTTTGGCCTCAAAGGCTCAGCTAGCCCCACGTTCTGCATTTCCCCTCATTAACTCGCTGGTGCTGCTAACAGTAGCCGGACTGAGATTGAGAGAAGAAAGCGCATTGTGTTCTTTGCGATTTTTGTTTATGTGAGAGGAGCTTAACTTGTTCATTTTTTTAAATTTTTTTAAGTAAATCCTTTAAAATGGGGAAATGGAGTCAACAAACAACAGTGATCTGTGTGGAAGCTCAGTTTGTGTTCCACTAAATTAAATTCCATCCTCCGAGGTTTGTTTTGGACGGAGAAGCAAGCGTTCAAAGACCTTTCTGTTTGTTTTTTGATGAGAAAATAATGAAGTCAAAGCTTAGAAAATGACAGAAAAATGTAATGTCGTGCAAAGAAAGCAGTTTGCCGAGCCTGAAGTTATTAGATTGGGTTAGATTGGAAAGGACTGTGCAAGTTAAATGATTGAGTTAGATGTGGATGTAGATGCTCACTTGCATGGAATATCAGGTTAAATGGCCGAAGCCTCCAGATGCCAGCGACCACATTTCTGCAGGGTTTTGGCAAACGGAGCACTGACTACAAACTAAAGTTGTGATTTGCAGTGTGTGTGTGTGTGTGTGTGTGTGTGTGTGTGTGTGTGTGTGTGTGTGTTGTGACACAGCTGTGACAATAGCTCGTGGCCCCCTGCAGCCTCATGGTGCAGACGGGACAGGGCCCACGGTTAATCCTCAGGCATGTGCTGGTGTGTACTAATGGTTCACCATACTGTCCATGTGCAGAGCAGTGCTGCCATCACATCACTTAAACCAGTGGTTCTCAACTGGTCTGGCTGCGGGACCCACCATCACCCCTTAATGACAAGCCGGGACCCACGACCCAAATGAGATTTGTGTGTGTGTATGTATATATGTGTGTGTGTGTGTGTATGTATATGTATATGTGTGTGTGTGTGTGTGTGTGTGTGTGTGTGTGTGTGTGTGTGTGTGTGTGTGT